TATGTTACATATATTTGTTTTTATCCCTTAAATATTGTTATCATGGAAGACTTCTTATGTCAATAACGGTGTGACAGTATTGTGATAATAATGTGATAATGTTTTGAAATCGAAAATTTCTTATGATGTGATTTTGTTGTTAACAACTCTGAATGCATAACCAACATACTTATCACTTGTGATACATTGTGATCAGCGAGTTAATTGTAGATACATGATTTTAGGGATAATCACTAAGATTACATATATATACAAAACTACATTATTATCCTTAATTATTAACTTTCTTTTCTTATCATTTTAATTGTGAGTTAAATATTTTTGCGCATATATATATATATATATATATATATATATATGTGTGTGAGAGAGAGAGTGAGTGTGTGTATGGAGGTTTAAACAATTGCATATTCATTTTATAGAACTACGAGAACACTCATATCACATGTGATAATGCATATAAAAAAACATAGTGGTGTGTGTGTATACGACTTGGCATGCACCCTACATCATTCCTAGAGTTGTATGCATCTCTGATTATTATCACATTTAATTGACTACATTAGAAGTATGTACTCGCGTTTTTGTAAAAGGAAGTTGTTATTGTTTGAATCATTCCCCTCTCACTCACACACACTCTCTCTCTCTCTCTCTCTCTCTCTCTCTCTATATATATATATATATATACACACACACACATAAAATGACATGTTCATTTAGGAACCTCAAATATTTTAAGAATCTCAATACCACCCGTTTTAAAATGAGGAATAAGTGATAAATGTCTCTAGTACACATTCATAATGAATAAGTGATAAATGTCTCTAGTACACATTCATAATGAATGAACAATATTCATTATTATTGAAGATTATTCATCATTAATATTACATAAAATAAGTGGTTAATGGGCTCTAAAAAATATTTAAGATTCCCTAAATCCTTACCCCCCCCCTCCCTCCCCTCCCCTCCCTGCTCTCTCTCTCTATATATATAACTGATTTATATCATATAAATGGTTTTGTAATGATCGTATCAATTTGAAACGAATTAAAAAAACATAGAACTTTCATACAGTCTAGACCCCTACAAGTGAGCAAACATAAAACAATGCGAGTTATAGTACAAGCAAGCTGATATAATTATTGGATTCAAATACTTATGAATCAGAAATTTTGTTTTATTGTTGATACACAATGTACGAGTTAAACGTTCAAATATTTGATTGTACTCTTATCTTTTATCATCACTGTCTCATAAAAATATATAAAACTTAAATTATGCTTTGGTCGGGATTTTTTATATACAACGACTTTCTTTTCGAAAATGCTAAATAAAATTGAATTATCGATTAAATATGCATAAAATACGATCCTTAATCTCGAATTATTTTGCTATATGATTTTAATTCTTGAAAATATCATAGTAATAATTTTGAAAACATATGTGGAAACATCTTCCTAGATTTTTCTAGAACTGAGTTCGTTATATATATAGAGACACGAAAGAGCGTGTGGGAATATGAGTTAATGTGAAAAGTATAAGAAAAAATTTAGACTATTGATCACTTTTAATACCAAAACAACTCATAAGTTACGCTTTATAAAGGAATTGATCTAATGTATCGCATTAATATTGATTTAGTAGTTCTCTTCAATTAAGATTGATCCATGGGTAGAAATTAATTTTTACATTTCTCAACATATCTTTCATTCTCAACAGAATCCGATCATATATATATATATATATATATATACGCATATACACACACATGAAGAATCGTGTAAGAAGAGAAGTTATAGTGAGAAGCCTAAGAAGAGATCTGAATCCTTGATCACTTTTGATCTGGTGCACCTTATTAGTGTTGACATTCAATTAGAATTTAGGAGTCATCAAGGTGTAGAGATCTCTTCTTAGGCTTCTCACCATCACTTCTCTTCTCATCGAAATCATATATATATATATATATATAGAGAGAGAGAGAGAGAGAGAGAGAGATTGTTTGAAATGCAACTCATCATATTTGTACAACCAATGCAACCCAATAAATTGAAATGTTTATGGAAATGATGAGAGTTCATTTATTATGATTTGAATATTTATGAAAGATAAATAGAGTTTCATTAATTATGATCAATACTTTATATTAAGAAACAATGAAAACTTCTATGAAATCACATATTTATCAAATTAAATAGACGGTTAAGATTGGTTGCATTAGTTATACAAATGTAAAGGGTAGTATAATAACTCACATCTCTCTCTCTCTCTCTATATATATATATATGAGATCCTTTTTAAGCCATTAAATATAAGATAATCGATGTTATAATTAAGAACATAATTATCATAATTCATTAAATAAACTTTAATATATTTTAAATAAAATTTCATAGATATCTATCTCTCTCTCTCTCTCTCTCTCTGTCTCTCTCTCTCTCTCCCATGATACATAAGGTGAACACAATATAAGCAACCTTAAAATGAATTTATTAGGCATGTTCAAAAACTATACTATATCTCTAAGAAAGTTCTCAAAATAAGACACATACACACACACACACACACACATATATATATATATATATATAGTTTAAAATAAAAACAATAGAATTCTTATAAACGCTATAAACTATGATCAACACTTTTAATAGAAAAATAATTGAGATATATATAAAAAAATACAATGTTCATCCATAACGATCGTTATTTAAAACAAGGAAACAATTAAAAAATTTATGGAACTAGATTTTTATTCAGGTAAATAAACAATTAAGATTGGTTTGTATAATTCGTAAGAATTTTATGTATAAACACCAACAAAAGGAGGGAAACAGATACTCAATTTAAAGTAAATAAACAAAATTCCATACTCGATCTCATAAATACATATAGAATGCTGCAGAAAGTCATATGTAAAACTGATTGGAGGGAGATCTTCCATATCTTTCGAAATCCACCCTACAATATGAGGTAAAAAAAAGCCAAAATAAATGATTTTAGTCCTTATAAAAATAAAACTGATTCTTGAATCCCTTTCACGCTCATGTCACGTCGAGATACTGCAGAAAAAAACTCTATATATACACACCATGAAATGAAGGTAACGTATTTTTTTAAGCAATTAAATAAAAAAACTAATTTAAAATCTTAATTATAATTAGGAATGATTAAAGATGCAAGTATTTGTGAAGTGAAATAATTTTTAGGAATTAAAAAAAAAAAAAAGACAGGAAAAATGGGTAGTAACAGCGTGGTCAGATTTGAAGGTCACAATATCACAGTTTCCATTATTGTGAAAGAAAAGCAACTGTGAACCTGTGCCTGAAACCGGGGAGTTTTAACATTTTCTTTCTTCTTTAACTTAATTACATAAATGGTCCTTCATCTTTTGTTGGAACTTCAATTTTTCATATTTACAAATAAATGTTTGCATATTTCATCCTTAAAAATGACTTCGTTTGTTGAGATGGAGTGCACCAATTATACGTCTAAACAGAAGTGATTGGAACACCCCCCTAAAAAAAAACACGTTACCAATAACCAAAACGGAGTGAGATACATAAATTCTGGAGTAAGCTTAACCGAATAAATCTATTCAGCCCCGATGAAGTCCACCACCTTCTTGCATCCCAAGAGTTGACCCTCGTTAAGTCTTCCCATGCATGTTCCTTCATGAGCTTCCAACTAGTATTTTATGTTAATATTGTCCCCGTATATATACTGATCGATTAAATCTGCCATAAGAAACTAGTATAATACAAGTAACTAAAATACAACTAAGAACTGTATTTTACTAGGTCTTTCCTTTTCTTTTACTATTACCTACTTGACCTTCTCTAGACACATGACATTGGCCAACTATATAAGCTCGATTTAATTCATTTGTTTTATAAAAAATACTTAAAGCGTCATGTTGGATGGTATTGAGATCATGTTATAACTGTACACACAAAACGTACATCATAATACTGAAACACTTTCAAAATTACAATTACTGGACACTGTTACACATGCTATAAACTAAGAGTTCTATAACTGTTTCATATGGTGGGGAAGACCCGATAGAATGACAATGGATCAGTACTAGGTCTTTGTGTTGTGTAGCAGTCCTTACAAAAACTAGGATTCACTTACCTTTTTTTTTTTTTTTAAATTCAACCTACGTCTCAATTTGTATCACATAAAATATTTTTTTGTACATAACGTAACTGAAACATTAGAAAATACTGCTAGCATGCTAAAACAATTTAAAGAAATATGTAGCACATAGCATGCTAACACTCTCTAAAATCAAACTATTCATGTATCCCTTTTTATAAGTCACATAAAAACCCGTCTAGTTATGGAAGTTTGTGAAATTAAACTGGAACTAATGTAAAACAGACATGAAATGTCCACATATACTGCTATATAGTTGTCTTGTCTGCTAGACCAACATTAAAAACGTACAAATAAATACAAACAAAAAATGAATGTGACGACGAGTTCAAGCTTATGAATCCACCTCCGACCTCATGTTGATCAACACGAGCTCGAGTTTGACCTCACGTACAGCTTGGCTCGATCAACTGGATGAAGCCTTGCGAGTCAACTCGGGCCTCACTCTGTCTCCCCAACAATTGCTAATTTTTGCTTTTGGATTCAGGCACAATGAGGGATTTTGGGGTGGTAATTCCTGTGATATATTCTGAATTTGGGGAGTCCTTTTCATGTTTCTCCTTGATTTGGTCAATATCACAACCAGCCCCATATTCTTTCATGAATTACCACTTTAACTCACTTCTTTTACTAACTTACAACTTTAGTCCCTCAATGTTTTTTTCCCTTTTATCATGCAACAGTTCTAACAAATGATGCAAATCAACTAATGTCTACATAATTTTATTTACAAATTTTCATACATTATCTATACTATAGGATGTACGAGAACAATAATCAAATAAGAGAATCAATCAGATTACATGTGATTTTATACTAAATTCACATGTGATTCACGCGAGTCAATACACAATCTCTCTCTCTCTCTCTCTCTCTCTCTATTTCCTCTCTCTTCAGGCAAATGAAACTACGTTATACAAGCACAAACGGTTCAACTAATTCAAAAGAGAACGAACCAAGTCGTAGCCACCCTAACTTTATGGAATGTCTTTAGAACATTTCAAGAATCTGTTCAAAAGAAAATCACCAACTCAAATACAGATTAAATATTAACACAGAAGTACAAGACATCATGTAATGCTAGCTTATTTTTTAAACTTCATTGAAAGGGTATGGTTAACCATAAGCGGGCTGACAATCAGCGAGCTTATAAGCTAGTTTTTTTTTTTAAACCTTCTTCCACTTATGCCCCTTTTTTACTTTTTCCAATTAATGTTTCAACATGGTCTTTACTATTACCTAGATTATCAACTAGTTTTTACCAAGTATCACCAGCTTATTAGCTCATAACTAGCTTTTCAGCTAATTGCTAGCTTATCAACAAGTTTGCCAAACATAGCCTTCAATCACGAAGGATCATGAAGCAGAAGCAGAAGCAGTGCAGAAACTTACATTTATGGGCATTTCTGCAATCACAAGACTGCTGCTTTCCTCGATGCTTTTAAGAGTCACCACTTCGCCTCCAACGACCATATTTATCACAATCCCATCTACATCAAATTTTTAAAAACGCAAACGTTAATCATAGAACTAGAAGGGCATGCTTGTTAACAACTTAATAAGCTTAATAAGGCTCACAGCTTAATTGGTCAGCTATACGTGACTGGTTGGCAGTGGCTTATTTAGTAAGCTTCTAGGGGGAGCTTTATACAGAAGGCTTAGTTTTTCCAAATATGCCTCTCCCAATTAAAAAATTTAACACATTCTTTCCATCTATGAAAAAACCAAACAAAAACTCTTCCGATCTGTACAAACACATTAATCCACAAAGTCGGCATTATCCATACAGGACTTAATGGAAAACCAACCAAACACCCCGTAAGATGTATTATGAAGTAGCAGAACGAACCTGCAGCTAAACATGTTGCCATCCGCCTCGTATATGTTTCCTGAGTTCAAACAGCAGCAACAGATGAGATATAGAGAAGAAAGGAGTGACTTTATTGAACGGAAATAAAGTATATACATACGTGTTCACACAACTAACCAACTTTTTAAATAGTAGAATACTTGCATCCCCCATGATGAACAGAAAAATTAATGCATTATGCTACTTTAAACAAGGCCCACCAACTTTGGTTAAAACAAACTTCTAATAAAGTGGATCACCACTCTAGGGCATCAAAGAACCTATTTTCTTTGCTATTTGGAAATATAGAATCTTTAAATGCAAAAATGTACTTCTAATAAGTGGGGATTTGGGGTAGCTTTATTTTATTAGTAAAATACTATTTATTTCGTTGTTGCCTTAGGGCCGTTTAAAAACACAAATTGGGTAAGCACTGACCGGGTAAGAGTGCGGTCTAATCGTTGACTGAATACGAATCCCTCCTTTAGCTTACCGGGTCAACATCATTGACCGGTAAGAGGGGCTTGGTAAACAGGCAACACCTCTTACTCGGTAAGAGGAGGTAAACAGGTACTAAACAGCCTCTTAATTAAGATAAATGTCACAAAAATGAAGATCTATACAATAAAAACCAAATGAAGAGACCAGATGCAAAATGAATGACAACTTTCAAAAAGGAATAATTATGAAAATAAATTAGGGATTCTGAACTTCACAAAGAGGACATTTCCAAGCATCTCTCGAAGGATAAAGCGCATGTATAGCACCTAACAGTGAATGGAATCCTTCAATCAAAGACGGATCTTGGTTATTTTATTCAATAGGAAGGTGATATCATTCGATGATGGGCCGACTCTGTTAGCAGTCGTAATAATACAGAGGATGCAAGTGTTATCCAGAGTAGTTGGGCTGAAAGGTTTTGTAGGTGGATTTTTTAACTCCACCACCAAATCTCAGAGATCAACTCACAGGCGGTGGAAACTACATCTCTTTCAAACTAAGGCCATGTTTGGCAAGTAAAACCTAATACTTTTCTGAGCTTATTAAAAGAAGCCTTGTTTGGTAAGTCATAACTAGCTTAACTAGCTTTCTGGGCTACTCTAGATTCGGGATTTTTTTTCACTCTTTTCCTGTTATGCCCCTTGTATTCTACATAAATGTCCCTAATATTTTATGTTCAGGTCATTTTACATTGCCGTCTAGCTTATCAGGTAGTTTGTCAAGCCTAACCTGAATCTACTCGGCAAAAGAACCAAAATATCATATATAAATAAAAAGACGACCCTGGTGCATCAACAGTCATTGTCTTTACAATGGTTGAGACAAGGTCTATATACAGTCTTTCTCCTTGCACTTTGCAATGAGATAAACAACAAAAATATAGCAAAATTAGATAATCTGTCTACTCGTAACTAACAATTCCTATTAAAGGACATTATCAAACAGATATTTAAATTAAATCTGATACCTATTGAGAAACTGAAATCAAAATTGAACAGCAATTATCTAGAGAAAGAATTCCTTCCACTAGTTGTGTGATATTAGTGTACTTTGCTTCTTTCCTAAAATTTTCATGTGCAAAGTTCTGGTTCTATCTCCCAGATCAGTTAGGTAGAGAAACAAAATCCAGCACTGAAGATCACCCCCACCCCTGGGTAAGCTGTGACACAGTATAGGAGTACCTTTCTTGTTGGTAGTTCATAGTTTATCAAAACACTAGAACCAATAGGGGATTCTCCTGAAGCAAGAAGAGGAAGACAAGCATCGGTTGCAACGATCATATGAGACTTTTGATCTTCCTTTTCATCCCCTTCATCTCCGGATTGAACAGCAGCTTTTTGGTTCCACATCATTGTTGTGTGGCGAAATCTATCTAAAACCAAAGCACGTTCTGCTTCGGCGAGGTCACTGTACTGAGAAAGATATTCAGAAAACAATGATATAATGTAAATTACTGATCATGGATTCATGCATGAGCTTGGAAACTGTTTAACATCCTAAACAACAGCTTAAATCAAATCCCATCTGATTGCCGCACTATATGCTATATAGGTTCAACTACAAGACATATGAACTGTCTATGAAATGTACGCATCTGCCAGCAAGACTTCACATGTGTGCCTAATTAAAAAGACAAGGATAAGTTCCAAGTCTAACCAATGCAGGAGTCTAACACGCCCCCTCCAACAAAGGGTAGATGGGCACATGTTGTCCCCCGAGTGTGGAGAGGGGCCAAGACGAGTATAGATTGCCCTAGAGACTAAGTGGTAGACCTTGGTTCTAATACCATGTGAGAATATGTGGAATTACTCTCCAAAGGAGCCCTTGAGTAGAGAAGGGAAGTCCCAATATATATGGAGTTGGAAATGGTCCAGGTCTAGCCGATGTGGGACTCTTAGCATTACATGTCATCAGAATTGCATTTTCCGGTCTATTTGGGAAACCATCTTTACGGACATGGTAGAACAGTCGAGTGTAACAGAAAAAGAGTCAGCCAACAACTAATAACTGCCTGGCAGTCCTATAGTGGGGAAGCCAGGGTAATTATGATCCTCGAACCCATCTAACCCAACTCTACAAAAATACTTATAAATACCCTAAGAATTCGGATTTTTTTCAAGTTAGCTGTCATTGATTTTGCTACTTGGTTCCTTGCCCAAATATACTTGCTCATGAACTGCTTATTCTAATGAAATGCTTCCTTAACTGACGCATCTGCTTCGACATAACAATAAAAAGCGACTAAAATAATAATTGCAAAAATAACCAAGTATGGTATCAGATACAGTCCATTAGATCCCAATTGGGTGCTAGCAAACCTTGACATAGATCAAATCCCATTCCTCCTTCTGTAGCAAGAGGAATGATGCTAAAGAGAATATGACTGCTGACCAAGAGGATAGTAAGGAGAAGGGAAAATACCAGTGGCGTAACAGAAATGTAGGAAATGTTGGAAACGGCAGAGCAAACAGCGTCAAGCTCATCACGGGTGCTACAACAAACCACCATTGGAAGCCATGGACGACGGCCTGCCATTCCTAATAGATCCACCAATGTCTCCTGCCAAATTTCCAGTGTTCTTCCAATTGAAAATTCAAGAGTCAAAAGTTCAATAACAATCTCACAATTTTGTTCTCAACAAGAATGTAAATTGTAAAAGTTACTTTTCCATCTCACGTTGGATGATTCCTATATATTTCGAGATAATAAGACAACAGAAATGTAAATCACAAAATGGCATGAAAAAACACAAAATTCTCACTTGTTTGCATACTTTAGAACCAACTCACCTACTTATTTTCAAATATCGAATTCTCTCACTTGTTTCCAGATTTTGAATATAACAGATGTATTAAAAAATTTAGAACAAAATCAATTTGGAATAAGGATGATGATACATCTAGAGGTATCAATTGAAGGAAAACCTAAACGAAAGATGGACAGGTGTTTACATCTTTCCTTGAATTAGTCATATGATAATAGCACAAAACGAATTAATGAATCTAAGTAAGAAATGGCTTTTCTTAACTGAAACTTAAATAGAGCAAGAGATGGACCATCTTAAACTGGATTCTGTCGACGGCGAGATAGAAATGGCGCTGTGGACTGCAACGTACACAACACTACTCAGCAAACTGATTTCTGTATTCACTCTCAGGATCACCGTGAAAACAAACTTGTTCGCAATTAACAAATAAGCCACGGTGAAAAAGGAAAAAAAACAAACAAATTCCGATACCTAACAGTAGAGGAAGCAGGAGAAAGATGTGAAGATGCTTCCACTGCGTCCATCTCCGGCGTAGGAAAACCCTACCGATCCTTTCACCTGCGTTGTGGGCCGTCGCTTGTGGCGAGTAAAATATTCCGTCTGGTATTACAAGTTTTATATTGGTCCATTGGAGAGGTAAATTACATAGAAGTCCTCAAGTATTAGTTAACTGCCATTTTAGTCCTTATTATAACGTAATAGCCATTTTTAGTCCTTAATTAAACAATTGTACCTGAAGAAGTCACTTACCAAAATGGTTATTCTGATGAATACGAGCTTTAATTATATAATGCAAGAGGGGTTTGCTATGCATGATACCGTATCTAAGATAAAGAATCTTAGATACGATATCATGCATTAACCAATTATAATTGATATATAAAACTTTATATCATGTATCAATCAACTATATTTGATACCAGTTTTTTTTAGTTGGTACAGTTTTATACAAACATCATAAAAGTTGAAGTTGTAACTTTATTTTTATTGATACTATTTATATTCAACAAAATGAATTATTTTGATAATCAATTATTTAAAATCAAAACATGTTTTATCACCACAAAAACAACCCTGTTTAGACCAAAAAGCTATCGAGATCAATGTATACGATATAACATTAATTCCTCTGTCGTAATTCCTATGCGTTTATATGTAAACCTATATAATTTACATATAAAATTATTTAATTGATTCACATATGAATTCGTATGATTCACATATGAATTATGGATTCACATACACACTTATGGGTTCACATGTGCACTTGTTTGCCGTATAAAAGTTACAAAACTACTCTTATATAAGTTTAAGACACGAGAGATGATGATGTAATGCGGTTGATGTCAGTGTAGCTGCCGGAGATGACGTTCTTGAGGGGGAGACAATGATGGAATTCTCCTCATCGGCGGGCAGTGATCATGGCTTCGTCGTGATGATGGTTTGCAAATTTTGCATGTTGATGGTGGAGTATTTTATGAAAGGTACAGCTGGAGGCATGGACGGACCTAGAGTAGAAAATATGGTGGCACGTGCCACCATATTATTCCTCCATCGAAGACTAAAAAAATTTAGGTTCGTGAAAGGTGCAACCGTATTAATTTGTTGTGTGCTGCCAAATCTATTTTGAAACTACAATGAGAACAAATTTTATTTGGTAGAGTTGGTTTGCAAGACTTTTTTTCCATCCGAGACCTAACTTTGAATCCTGCTAATGTCATTTTCTTAGTCAAATGGTATAATTGTTTGAAATTTTTTCCTTATATTTTTTTTATAGTCAAATTGTATCATCATTTGAAAAAAAATTCTAGATCCGTCTTTGGCCGGAGGGTTGGAGGGTGGGAGTTTATATAACGAGA